GATGTCATGTATGCACTAAACGACTATGTGGTCCCCAAAATAGCATTTTTTGGGTTTACATGCCCTTTAATCAAATTTTGACCTTCCAGCTACTACAACCCACCGGAAATACTCAGATACCAGCTTAGGGCGTGGTTAATGACATAGAGCAGGTTCCGTCCGCACGACGCCGAAAGAATTTGAAAATAAAGGTTTCTCTCTGAAAACGCATCAAATGTTTTCCGTCCGCACTACACCAGGGGAATTTAAAAACGCAACAATCACCGGTCATTTTGACTTTGTGTTTGAGGAAAATCACATGATCGTAACGCCATCGTTTTCCAAAACGGAAAGCTGGCGTTTTCAAATTCCTCGGGTTTCGAAAGTTTCGTTTTCGTGACGGATTAGTGTGAACGATAAGCCTTGCCATAGAAATAAACCTGTGTTTTCAAATTTCTCCGTAGTGTGGACGCTACCTCAGCCACCTAGAAATCGCCTGGGAGCAAATATTTCAAGTAACCGATCCGTTGCATGCCCCTGTTTATTTACAAAGGCCTTCTCGGAACGTCAAAATCATAATATAGGTTTACCATTTCAAAAAAATGGAGAATACTGAGTTAACTTAGATGAGAAGTAAATAAGATAAGATTTGCACACCCACTCGTTGATAACGTGATAACCACCTCGATGTTACACGCGTAGTTAGTTGTTGTTGTTGTTGTTGTTTTTTTTTTTTTACCAACTCGCGCACTGTCGTGAATAATCTTCACAACTTCAGCTACTTTCAAATGTTCAAATGTTGTTATTTATAGTGGACAATGCACTTTGCTACACCTAGCTTGTTCTCAGGCATGCCACTTCCATTCAAAGAAAGAAATTTTTCAAATAAACATAACAGGCTTCTAAATCCCAACTGGTGGGAGGCAAACCAGTTGGTTATAATACAAGCATGACCGAGGAATTGATCTAGGGTCTACCGAGAAACAACTCCAGCTTAGGGGTCAGAGCGGAACTTGAACCCGCGACCTCCGGATTTCAAGTCCGGCGCCCTAACCACCAGGCCATGCTGCCTCACCGTTCAAGTAAAGCAAAAACTTCGTAAAAACCTGCAGTCAGAGAATTATTGCCTTGACATTGTTCTGCTTTCTAGAGAGGTAACCTCATTCTGGTTCATCCTGAATAAGTTCTTAACAGCTCGTCTTATCTCTCTCATTCTCCAGCAGTACACAAATGGATTCAGGAAAGAGCCGATAAAAACAACAGTTGTAACGCAGTCAAAGGCAATTTTCACTCTGGTTGTGTACCCGGTAGAATTGTACATGAAAATTGTCACCAAAAGTGGAAGATAGAAAATTAATATCAAACCGTAGACATAAAGGACAGTTACGGAAGACTTCCTCAGCCTCAGAACGTTTACAGTGTTGCGTTGGACACTCTGCTGCTGCTGAGAAATCTGGCGCTGATGTCTACGAACGATCCGGAATATCTTTAAGGTGCTCAAGGCTGTGACAAGAAATGTTAACAGTAGCCCTGCCACTGCAAGAAAAATCCAGACAGTGATCTTCCAAAAATTCACCAAAACGAGAGCAGCTGATCCTATCCAGACGGCAAAGTTAGCTAGTACAGTTCTGCGAAAAGTGACAACAGTGTTGTATCTTAAATGAAGAGTTAAAGCGAGAAGTCGATCAATGGAGATTCCGCTTAAAGTCGCCAAAGAAACACTCGTTGCTGCATAGCTAAACAAGCTCTGAATAATTCTCAAGACACAGTAAGCGTTAAAGTCGCCCACGAATTCCGCAATGTGATAGGCCACGAAAAATGGCTGACAAATCACCCCCACAACAAGATCCGAGGCTGCGAGGCTGAACAGGAGGATAAAAGATGGCGAATGAAGCTCTTGTTTTTTCCAGATGACATATAGGATGATAAAATTCCCAGTAGTTGTCATCAGAGAAAACACTGCGTTGAGAATGCTTGTTAGAATACTTGCGATAAAGGTGTCCTTCGTTTGTTCCACGTTTACAGACAAAAAATAACAGTGAAGAAGGGATGTGTTGTTCATGTTTAAGGTGGAGATGGTCACAACAAAGTTAACCATCTATGGCTGTTAAACCTGCTTGCTAACTTAAAGCGCAGCTGTTGATGTAAGTCATCTGTTATTTAAACCTGACCAAACCTGTCATGTGTATATTGGTGTACATGTAACTCGGAGACGTAACTTGCCGGCTAACATGTCATCCGCTGTCATTATTCTTATCTGTTTTTAATCATCTATCTTTACAGCCATGAAGATGCCCGAGCGGTGAACAGTAATGGTCTCCCTTTGCCTTATGCACTATAAGCTGGTCAGTGTAAAAATATTTCGAGCGCGTTGTTTTTTTTCTTGGTTTAATTTAGCTCAATTTATTGGAAAAGAAAATGCGTGATGCATGTTGGCATGTACCAATTACACAGGTGGTTGTTGTGATCAGTAACAAACATGCTAAGTTCAAATGACACTACAACTGTCGACAATCTGACTGTTCCCAAATTAAAACACGCGAGGAACACATGTACGTTCGCGCTAATTAAGGAGTTCAAGTAACCACGACAGCGAAGCCGAGAGCAACGACGATTAACAAAATGATTTTTTATTTTGCCAACGAATCTCGCGGCACTCTTAATATAAGTCATAAACTGGATATAAAACACAGCATTAGTTTTATTAATTATCTGACGCGGTTCATGTTCTCCATACAAAACAGAATTTGGTTGTTTCACGTTGTTGTTTTACAGAGCTAGAGGACGGCAAGAAATGTAGCAAGAATTAAAATGCACGTGCATATATAGCCATTGTACTGCTCATTTAACCTTTTTATTTAGCGATGTTCCCGTTGCCGCTGTAGTTTTCTTAAACTCCCTACTGTTTACGTCTACGTGCGCTTGCAGTGCACCTAATGCACTCGTGAAGAAATACCGTGTTACGTTATACTAACAGGGTCGTTTTCTAAACCTTTTATTACACCCGAACAAGTTCGTTTCTTATTAAAATTTCCATTTATAATTTGTCGTTTTCCTAGTTTTAGTAAATATTCAGGGAGATATGTCAGGTTTCCCTTAATTGTTGGACACTTGAGTCAGACAAGTAGGGTTTTTTACAGTTGAAGCATGCAAACAAAAGGGGCACAAGACTACGGGCAGCAAAGGCCATTTTTGAGATATTAAAATTCTAACTTGACATCGAGGTCGAGAGATAAATATTTTTTTTTCTTTTATTCTTCCAAGCCTTGAAGCGGCTATAATTTTAATTTATCGAAATTGGCCTATGAAAAACGGTTGTAATAAGAAAAATGGTGCGGCACAATTGAGACAATAGGGAGCTTAAGCAAACCACGACGGCAGCGGCAACGAAAACGTCATCAAACAAAAGGTTTAATGAGCAAAACAATGGCTAAGCACGAGTCGGTTTTAAATCTTTGCACATTTCGTAGCTGTCCTCTGCAAAACAACAGCTTGAAATGACCAAGTTCTGCGCACAGTTGAGAACGTAACTTTTTCGTATTTTTCGAAGGCAAATTTTTCGTTTTTCTTTTTAGAATTGATCGTTGGCAGCACATATTTAGTTTGAGCAAGTTTTCAGACCGATTGGAGTACTGAGCAGATTCAGCTAGTTACGAAATTTAAAGCTTAAATCATACTTAATAGAGGGGAATGGTTATCAAACAGTTCTTTGTGGTATGTTTTTGTTCGCTTTTTTGGCCTTGACCGTGCACAAAACACAATAGCTCCTTACTCAGTACTCAGGAACTAACCAATAGAAACGTTTTGGTTACGTAATGCATGCATAGTGTATGAGCTAAAAACAAAAGATTGTGCACGGTCGTGGACCTTCCAACATAAATCTTGGCATCTTTGTTTGCTCCTTTGATGTTTGCCGG